TACCCCCAGGGTTGGGTATGGGGTGCACTACTGCCCCCAGGGTTGGGTATGGGGTGCACTACTGCCCCCAGGGTTGGGTATAGGGTACACTACTGCCCCCAGGGTTGGGTATGGGTTACACTACTGCCCCCAGGGTTGGGTATGGGGTGCACTACTGCCCCCAGGGTTGGGTATGGGGTACACTACTGCCCCCAGGGTTGGGTATGGATTACACTACTGCCCCCAGGGTTGGGTATGGGTTACACTACTGCCCCCAGGGTTGGGTATGGGTTACACTACTGCCCCCAGGGTTGGGTATGGGTTACACTACTGCCCCCAGGGTTGGGTATGGGTTACACTACTGCCCCCAGGGTTGGGTATGGGTTACACTACTGCCCCCAGGGTTGGGTATGGGGTGCACTACTGCCCCCAGGGTTGGGTATGGGTTACACTACTGCCCCCAGGGTTCGGTATGGGGTGCACTACTGCCCCCAGGGTTGGGTATGGGTTACACTACTGCCCCAGGGTTGGGTATGGGGTACACTACTGCCCCCGGGATGGGTATGGGGTACACTACTGCCCCCAGGGTTGGGTATGGGGTGCACTAGTGCCCCAGGGTTGGGTATGGGTTACACTACTGCCCCAGGGTTGGGTATGGGGTACACTACTGCCCCCGGGATGGGTATGGGGTACACTAGTGCCCCCAGGGTTGGGTATGGGGTACACTACTGCCCCCAGGGTTGGGTATGGGGTGCACTACTGCCTCCAGGGTTGGGTATGGGTTACACTACTGCCCCCAGGGTTGGGTATGGGGTACACTACTGCCCCCAGGGTTGGGTATGGGGTACACTACTGCCCCCAGGGTTGGGTATGGGGTTCACTACTGCCCCCAGGGTTGGGTATGGGGTGCACTACTGCGCCAGGGATGGGTATGGGGTGCACTAGTGCCCCCAGGGTTGGGTATGGGGTACACTACTGCCCCCAGGGTTGGGTATGGGGTACACTACTGCCTCCAGGGTTGGGTATGGGGTACACTACTGCCCCCAGGGTTGGGTATGGGGTGCACTACTGCCCCCAGGGTTGGGTATGGGGTGCACTACTGCCCCCAGGGTTGGGTATGGGGTGCACTACTGCCCCCGGGGTTGGGTATGGGGTACACTACTGCCCCCGGGTTGGGTATGGGGTACACTACTGCCTCCAGGGTTGGGTATGGGGTACATTACTGCCCCCAGGGTTGGGTATGGGGTGCACTACTGCCCCCAGGGTTGGGTATGGGGTGCACTACTGCCCCCAGGGTTGGGTATGGGGTGCACTACTGCGCCAGGGATGGGTATGGGGTGCACTACTGCCCCCAGGGTTGGGTATGGGGTGCACTACTGCCCCCAGGGTTGGGTATGGGGTGCACTACTGCGCCAGGGATGGGTATGGGGTACACTACTGCCCCAGGGTTGGGTATGGGGTGCACTACTGCCCACAGGGTTGGGTATGGGGTGCACTACTGCCCCCAGGGTTGGGTATGGGGTGCACTACAGCCCCAGGGTTGGGTATAGGGTGCACTACTGCCCCCAGGGTTGGGTATGGGGTGCACTACTGTCCCAGGGATGGGTATGGGGTGCACTACTGCCCCCAGGGTTGGGTATGGGGTGCACTACTGCCCCCAGGGTTGGGTATGGGGTGCACTACTGCCCCCAGGGTTGGGTATCGGGTGCACTACTGCCACCAGGGTTGGGTATGGGGTGCACTACTGCCCCTAGGGTTGGGTATGGGGTGCACTACTGCCCCAGGGATGGGTATGGGGTACACTACTGCCCCCAGGGTTGGGTATGGGGTGCACTACTGCCCCAGGGTTGGGTATAGGGTGCACTACTGCCCCAGGGTTGGGTATGGGGTGCACTACTGCCCCCAGGGTTGGGTATGGGGTGCACTACTTCCCACAGGGTTGGGTATGGGGTGCACTACTGCCCCCAGGGTTGGGTATGGGGTGCACTACTGCCCCAGGGTTGGGTATAGGTTGCACTACTGCCCCAGGGTTGGGTATGGGGTGCACTACTGCCCCCAGGGTTGGGTATGGGGTACACTACTGCCCCCAGGGTTGGGTATGGGGTGCGCTACTGCCCCCAGGGTAGGGTATGGGGTTCACTACTGCCCCCAGGGTTGGGTATGGGGTGCACTACTGCCCCCAGGGTTGGGTATGGGGTGCACTACTGCCCCAGGGTTGGGTATGGGGTGCAATACTACGAGGCAGTTCCTATTGGTCCATACGAGGCAGTTCCTATTGGTCCATACGAGGCAGCTCCTATTGGTCGATACGAGGCAGCTCCTATTGGTCCATACGAGGCAGCTGCTATTGGTCCACACGAGGCAGCTCCTATTGGTCCATACGAGGCAGCTCCTATTGGTCCATACGAGGCAGCTCCTATTGGTCCACACGAGGCAGCTCCTATTGGTTCATACGAGGCAGCTGCTATTGGTCCATACGAGGCAGCTGCTATTGGTCCACACGAGGCAGCTCCTATTGGTTCATACGAGGCAGCTCCTATTGGTCCACACGAGGCAGCTTCTATTGGTTCATACGAGGCAGCTGCTATTGGTCCATACGAGGCAGCTGGTATTGGTCCATACGAGGCAGCTGGTATTGGTCCATACGAGGCAGCTCCTACTGCTCCATACGAGGCAGCTCCTATTGGTCCATACGAGGCAGCTGCTATTGGTCCATACGAGGCAGCTGCTATTGGTCCATACGAGGCAGCTGCTATTGGTCCATACGAGACAGCTGCTATTGGTCCATACGAGGCAGCTGCTATTGGTCCATACGAGGCAGCTCCTATTGGTCCATACGAGGCAGCTGCTATTGGTCCATACGAGGCAGCTCCTATTGGTCCATACGAGGCAGCTCCTATTGGTCCATGCGAAGCAGCTCTTATTGGCCCATACGAGGCAGCTCCTATTGGTCCATACGTGGCAGTTCCTATTTGTCCATATGGGGCAGCTCCTATTGGTCCATACGAGGCAGTTCCTATTGGTCCATATGAGGCAGCTCCTATTGGTCCATATGAGGCAGCTCCTATTGGTCCATACGAGGCTGCTCCTATTGGTCCATATGAGGCAGCTCCTATTGGTCCATATGAGGCAGCTGCTATTGGTCCATACGAGGCAGCTCCTATTGGTCCATACGAGGCAGCTCCTATTGGTCCATACGAGGCAGCTCCTATTAGTCCATACGAGGCAGCTCCTATTGGTCCATACGAGGCAGCTCCTATTGGTCCATACGAGGCAGCTCCTATTAGTCCATACGAGGCAGCTCCTATTGGTCCATACGAGGCAGCTGCTATTGGCCCATACGAGGCAGCTCCTATTGGTCCATACGAGGCAGCTGCTATTGGCCCATACGAGGCAGCTCCTATTGGTCCATACGAGGCAGCTGCTATTGGCCCATACGAGGCAGCTCCTATTGGTCCATACGAGGCAGCTCCTATTGGTCCATACGAGGCAGCTCCTATTGGTCCATACGAGGCAGCTCCTATTGGTCCATACGAGGCAGCTGCTATTGGTCCATACGAGGCAGCTCCTATTGGTCCATACGAGGCAGCTCCTATTGGTCCATACGAGGCAGCTCCTATTGGTCCATACGAGGCAGCTGCTATTGGTCCATACGAGGCAGCTCCTATTGGTCCATACGAGGCAGCTCCTATTGGTCCATACGAGGCAGCTCCTATTGGTCCATACGAGGCAGCTCCTATTGGTCCATACGAGGCAGCTCCTATTGGTCCATACGAGGCAGCTCCTATTGGTCCATACGAGGCAGCTCCTATTGGTCCATACGAGGCAGCTGCTATTGGTCCATACGAGGCAGCTCCTATTGGTCCATACGAGGCAGCTCCTATTGGCCCATACGAGGCAGCTCCTATTGGTCCATACGAGGCAGCTCCTATTGGTCCATACGAGGCAGCTCCTATTGGTCCATACGAGGCAGCTCCTATTAGTCCATACGAGGCAGCTCCTATTGGTCCATACGAGGCAGCTCCTATTGGTCCATACGAGGCAGCTCCTGTTGGTCCATACGAGGCAGCTCCTATTGGTCCATACGAGGCAGCTCCTATTGGTCCATACGAGGCAGCTCCTATTGGTCCATACGAGGCAGCTCCTATTGGTCCATACGAGGCAGCTCCTATTGGTCCATACGAGGCAGCTCCTATTGGTCCATACGAGGCAGCTCCTATTGGTCCATACGAGGCAGCTCCTATTGGTCCATACGAGGCAGCTCCTATAGTTTACTTTGGTAGCAGTATTTCTTACAAACATATGTTGTTGAATATGACCATAAGGAACAATTGTGTTGCTTTCGGTAATATTTAATTGTTGCTTTCGTTGCAACAATTTCTGTGTTAAGTAACACAGAAATTATCGACAGATACAACGATAACAGGAGACTCGACATCAGCGAGGCACTACTCATCAAAAAGTCAAAACCAGCAATCAACAGCCAATTAACACCTAATTACATTCTAACCACTCCAAGACCCCGAACCAGCACAGAAGCAAGCAGATAACATGTATATTACATGTATACCCATTGTTTCGTGTTCTGTCTTTTCCCATTGATTTGTTTCCTGTCACCTTACCCAAAAACGAAAAAAAGCATGTAACTGAGAACATAAAATTTGTCTTTGAAAATGTAATAAGTCTTGCGAAACGCTTCTAGGCGTCACATATATATATATATATATATATATATATATATATATATATATATATATATATATATATATATATATATATATATATATATATATATATATATCTATATATATATATATCTGATATATATTCTCACAGTAACAAAATTGTTGTTTCATTATTATATTAACACGATTTTTGATTCCCCCATTAATAAGACCTTTTTTTTATCGCATTACACATGTGTGATATAAATGAAATAATCCTATATTCTAACAGGATTTTATATCAGGGGTAGTACACAAGTTTCTATAATGTGTCTTTGTTTGTTTGTTTGTGTTTAGTATCTCCGCGCGTGGTGGTGGTGCCCATCTTGTCTTGCATCATTGGCTTCCCCTTGTTGGTGCTCCTGGTGATCTGTGGCCTCAGGTACCGCGCCAGGCGGGCTCGAATCTCAGCTAAGAAAGCTCACAGGTAAGACTAGATTTCTGTCTGTTTCTCTAGCTTGTATGTCAGTTAAGTTGGCTTAGAGGTAAGTCTGGCTTTCTCTGTCTGTTTCTCTAGCTTGTATCTCAGTCAGGCTGGCTTACTGGAAAGTCTGGCTTTCTCTCTCTGTTTCTCTAGCTTGTATCTCAGTCAAGCTGGCTTACTGGTAACTCTGGCTTTCTCTCTCTGTTTCTCTAGCTTGTATGTCAGTTAAGTTGGCTTAGAGGTAAGTCTGGCTTTCTCTCTCTGTTTCTCTAGCTCGTATCTCAGTCAGGCTGGCTTACTGGAAAGTCTGGCTTTCTCTGTCTGTTTCTCTAGCTTGTATCTCAGTCAGGCTGGCTTACTGGAAAGTCTGGCTTTCTCTCTCTCTGTTTCTCTAGCTTGTATCTCAGTCAAGCTGGCTTACTGGTAACTCTGGCTTTCTCTCTCTGTTTCTCTAGCTTGTATGTCAGTCAAGCTGGCTTACTGGTAAGTCTGGCTTTCTCTCTCTCTGTTTCTCTAGCTTGTATCTCAGTCAGGCTGGTTTACTGGTAACTCTGGCTTTCTCTCTCTGTTTCTCTAGCTTGTATCTCAGTCAGGCTGGCTTACTAGTAAGTCTGGCTTTCTCTCTCTCTGTTTCTCTAGCTTGTATCTCAGTCAAGCTGGCTTACTGGTAACTCTGGCTTTCTCTCTCTGTTTCTCTAGCTTGTATCTCAGTCAAGCTGGCTTACTGGTAACTCTGGCTTTCTCTCTCTCTGTTTCTCTAGCTTGTATCTCAGTCAAGCTGGCTTACTGGTAAGTCTGGCTTTCTCTCTCTGTTTCTCTAGCTTGTATCTCAGTCAAGCTGGCTTATTGGTAAGTCTGGCTTTCTCTCTCTCTGTTTCTCTAGCTTGTATCTCAGTCAGGCTGGCTTACTGGTAACTCTGGCTTTCTCTCTCTGTTTCTCTAGCTTGTATCTCAGTCAAGCTGGCTTACTGGTAAGTCTGGCTTTCTCTCTCTCTGTTTCTCTAGCTTGTATCTCAGTCAAGCTGGCTTACTGGTAAGTCTGGCTTTCTCTCTCTCTGTTTCTCTAGCTTGTATCTCAGTCAAGCTGGCTTAAAGGTAAGTCTGGCTTTCTCTCTCTGTTTCTCTAGCTTGTATCTCAGTCAAGCTGGCTTACTGGAAAGTCTGGCTTTCTCTCTCTCTGTTTCTCTAGCTTGTATCTCAGTCAAGCTGGCTTACTGGTAAGTCTGGCTTTCTCTCTCTCTGTTTCTCTAGCTTGTATCTTAGTCAAGCTGGCTTACTGGTAAGTCTGGCTTTCTCTCTCTCTGTTTCTCTAGCTTGTATCTCAGTCAAGCTGGCTTACTGGAAAGTCTGGCTTTCTCTCTCTCTGTTTCTCTAGCTTGTATCTCAGTCAAGCTGGCTTAAAGGTAAGTCTGGCTTGTTGAGCTTGTAGCTGTTGCCCCTTGTGTGTGTTACATTGTGGCGTGTTGAAGACTGTAAATAGTGGAAAGCACTAAAGTTACTAAACTGTTAACCTTACTCCTTCACTGGGGTTATTCTGACCGTCAATTACTCATCTAAATATATTCAACCAAACTTAAAAATAATTCTTATGGAAATATGCAGCATTTTTTATTGAATTTTGAGAAATTAATATCAATTTCCCTCTGTGAATAGTTTGGTCGTATTGGCATAAACCAGAGACTCCTTCTACAGTGTCTAAGGTGGCCCCCAAGCCCCGGACCTTGACCACAGTAAGGGGGGGGGGGGGGACTTTTCTTGAAGGTGTTGGAGGGGGTGCTGGTGTTGGAGGGGGTGCTGGTGTTGGGTGTTGGAGGGGGTGCTGGTGTTGGAGGGGGTGCTGGTGTTGGAGGGGGTGCAGGTGTTGTTGAGGGGGTGCTGGTGTTGGAGGGGGTGCTGGTGTTGGAGGGGGTGCTGGTGTTGGAGGGGGTGCTGGTGTTGGAGGGGGTGCTGGTGTTGGAGGGGGTGCTGGTGTTGGAGGGGGTGCTGGTGTTGGAGGGGGTGCTGGTGTTGGAGGGGGTGCTGGTGTTGGAGGGGGTGCTGGTGTTGGAGGGGGTGCTGGTGTTGGAGGGGGGTGTTGGCTGGTGTTGGAGGGGGTGCTGGTGTTGGAGGGGGTGCTGGTGTTGGAGGGGGTGCTGGTGTTGGAGGGGGTGCTGGTGTTGGAGGGGGTGCTGGTGTTGGAGGGGGTGCTGGTGTTGGAGGGGGTGCTGGTGTTGGAGGGGGTGCTGGTGTTGGAGGGGGTGCTGGTGTTGGAGGGGGCTGGTGTTGCTGGTGTTGGAGGGGGTGCTGGTGTTGGAGGGGGTGGTGTTGGAGGGGGTGCTGGTGTTGGAGGGGGTGCTGGTGTTGGAGGGGTGCTGGTGTTGGAGGGGGTGCTGGTGTTGGAGGGGGTGCTGGTGTTGGAGGGGGTGCAGGTGTTGGAGGGGGTGCTGGTGTTGGAGGGGGTGCTGGTGTTGGAGGGGTGCTGGTGTTGGAGGGGGTGCTGGTGTTGGAGGGGTGCTGGTGTTGGAGGGGGTGCTGGTGTTGAAGGGGGTGCTGGTGTTGGAGGGGTGCTGGTGTTGGAGGGGGTGCTGGTGTTGGAGGGGGTGCTGGTGTTGGAGGGGGTGCTGGTGTTGGAGGGGGTGCTGGTGTTGGAGGGGGTGCTGGTGTTGGAGGGGGTGCTGGTGTTGGAGGGGGTGCTGGTGTTGGAGGGGGTGCTGGTGTTGGAGGGGGTGCTGGTGTTGGAGGGGGTGCTGCTGTTGGAGGGGGTGCTGGTGTTAGAGGGGGTGCTGGTGTTGGAGGGGGTTCTGGTGTTGGAGGGGGTGCTGGTGTTGGAGGGGGTGCTGGTGTTGGAGGAGTGCTGGTGTTGGAGGGGGTGCTGGTGTTGGAGGGGGTGCTGGTGTTGGAGGGGGTGCAGGTGTTGGAGGGGGTGCTGGTGTTGGAGGGGGTGCTGGTGTTGGAGGGGTGCTGGTGTTGGAGGGGGGTGCTGGTGTTGGAGGGGTGCTGGTGTTGGAGGGGGTGCTGGTGTTGAAGGGGGTGCTGGTGTTGGAGGGGTGCTGGTGTTGGAGGGGGTGCTGGTGTTGGAGGGGGTGCTGGTGTTGGAGGGGGTGCTGGTGTTGGAGGGGGTGCTGGTGTTGGAGAGGGTGCTGGTGGAGGTGAAGGAATAATATATTTTTTCTCCAACAGTGTGGAGTCATCAGTGCTGGAGCTGACGTCGGGCCCCTCCATCCTGGCGAGCCGGTACAGCAATGGTACGTACACACACACACACACACACACACACACACACACACACACACACACACACACACACACACACACACACACACACACACACACACACACACACACATACACACACATACACACACACACACACACACACACACACACACACACACACACACACACACACACACACACACACACACACACACACACACACACCAAACCAACGGTGTCGGGACCAAAGAGCCAAAGCTCAACCCCCGCAAGCACAATTAGATGAGTACAATTAGGTGAGTACACACACACACACACACACACACACACACACACACACACACACACACACACACACACACACACACACACACACACACACATACACACACATTCACACACACACACACACACACACACACACACACACACACACACCAAAGGTGTCGGGACCAAAGAGCCAAAGCTCAACCCCCGCATGCACAATTAGATGAGTACAATTAGGTGAGTACACACACACACACACACACACACACACATACACACACATACACACACACACACACACACACACACACACACACACACACACACACACAGTAGCGGGGGCCTCGTAGCCTGGTGGATAGCGCGCAGGACTCGTAATTCTGTGGCGCGGGTTCGATTCCCGCACGAGGCAGAAACAAATGGGCAAAGTTTCTTTCACCCTAAGTGCCCCTGTTACCTAGCAGTAAATAGGTACCTGGGAGTTAGTCAGCTGTCACGGGCTGCTTCCTGGGGTGTGTGGTGTGGGAAAAAAAAAAAAAGTAGTTAGTAAACAGTTGATTGACAGTTGAGAGGCGGGCCGAAAGAGCAAAGCTCAACCCCCGCAAAAACACAACTAGTAAACACACACACACACACACACACACACACACACACACACACACACACACACACACACACACACACACACACACACACACACACACACACACACACACACACACACACACACACACACACACACACACACACACACACACACACACACACACACACACACACACACACACACACACACACACACACACACACACACACACACACACACACACACACACACACACACAAACAAACACACACACACACACACACACACACACACACACACACACACACACACACACACACACACACACACACACACACACACACACACATACACACACACACACACACACACACACACACACACACACACACACACACACACACACACACACACACACACACACACACACACACACCAAACCAAAGGTGTCGGGACCAAAGGTGTCGGGACCAAAGGTGTCGGGACCAAAGAGCCAAAGCTCAACCTCCGAAAGCACAATTAGATGAGTACAATTAGGTGAGTACACAGACACACACACACACACACACACACACACACACACACACACACACACACACACACACACACACACACACACCAAACCAAAGGTGTCGGGACCAAAGGTGTCGGGACCAAAGGTGTCGGGACCAAAGAGCCAAAGCTCAACCTCCGAAAGCACAATTAGATGAGTACAATTAGGTGAGTACACAGACACACACACACACACACACACACACACACACACACACACACACACACACACACACACACACACACACACACACACACACACACACACACACACACACACACACACAGGAAAAGTCCTAGCATGGGTAAGGAACTACCTAACAGGCAGGAGCCAAAGAGTTACGGTAAGGGGCGAGAAGTCGGACTGGCGAACAGTAACAAGTGGAGTACCACAAGGATCGGTGCTGGGACCAATTCTATTTCTAGTATATGTTAACGACATGTTTACAGGAGTAGATTCCTACATGTCGATGTTCGCAGATGACGCAAAGTTGATGAGAAGAGTTGTGACAGATGAGGATTGTAGGATCCTCCAAGGGGATCTGAACAAGTTGCAGAGATGGTCAGAGAAATGGCTACTGGAGTTCAACACGAGCAAATGTAAAGTTATGGAAATGGGACTAGGTGATAGGAGACCAAAGGGACAGTACACAATGAAGGGGAACTGCCTACCTGTGACGACGCGCGAAAGAGACCTGGGAGTGGACGTAACACCTAATCTATCTCCTGAGGCACATATAAATAGGATAACGACAGCAGCGTACTCTACACTGGCAAAAGTTAGAACATCATTCAGAAACCTAAGTAAGGAGGCATTTAGGGCGCTTTACACTGCCTACGTGAGGCCAATCTTAGAGTATGCCGCCTGATCATGGAGTCCCCATCTGAAGAAACGCATAAGGAAACTGGAAAAGGTTCAGAAGTTTGCAATGAGACTCGTCCCAGCGTTACGAGGGATGGGGCACGAAGAGCGCCTGAAGAAACTGTGCCTTACGACACAAGTAAAATGATAAGAGTGGGGGGATATGATAGGAACGTATAAAATACTCAGGAGGATTGACAGAGTGGACATGACGAAATGTTCACACGGAATAGTAACAGAACGAGAGGACATGGATGGAAGCTTGAAACTCAGATGAGTCACAGAGATGTTAGGAAGTTTTCTTTTAGCGTGAGAGTAGTAGAAAAATGGAATGCACTTAAGGAACAGGTTGTGGAAGCAAACTCTATTCATAATTTTAAAACTAGATATGATAGGGAAATGGGACAGGAATCATTGCTGTAAACAACCGATGGCTGGAAAGGCGGGATCCATGAGTCAATGCTCGATCCTGCAGACACAAATAGGTGAGTACACACACACATACTCACACATTCACTTACAAAGGTGATCTGTAATTTTCTATATTATGTATATGACATATATTAACAAGTGTATGAATATCCTTTACTATGTATAGTATTGTTTGTTAATGACTTTGCAATTATACTTCTTATGTACATATTTCAGGATATCCGAACACCTCAAGTGCTGTTGAGATATAAGGCTTCAAAAATACAGTATAATTGAGAAATTAGGCTTACAAAATACAGAACAGGTGGATAATTAGCTTACATAAATAAAATAAACGTGGATAATTAGGCTACAAAAATAAAGAACAGATGGATAATTAGCTTACATAAATAAAATACACGTGGATAATTAGGCTACAAAAATAAAGAACAGGTGGATAATTAGCTAACATAAATAAAATACACGTGGATAATTAGGCTACAAAAATAAAGAACAGGTGGATAATTAGCTTACATAAATAAAATAAACGTGGATAATTAGGCTACAAAAATAAAGAACAGATGGATAATTAGCTTACATAAATAAAATACACGTGGATAATTAGGCTACAAAAATAAAGAACAGATGGATAATACATTTATTTACGAAAATGTATCCCAACTAGAAAATTTGTCTACGAAAATACAGTGCTGGTGAATAGGCTACGAAAATAGATTAGTGGGAGATAACTGGGTTTTGGAAAATACGATATTAGTTGGGTAGTTAATTCTGTAATTTAAGCAGCTCAAATTATTTTAAAGATCATAGACACATAGACATTCAGGTCTGGTCTTGACAACACTGTATTGGATATCATTTCCATTTAGACATTATAATTCATTATATGTTTAGAGCTTGGGAGTATCTTAGGCTTGGGAGTATCTTAGGCTTGGGAGTATCTTAGGCTTGGGAGTATCTTAGGCTTGGGAGTATCTTAGGCTTGGGAGTATCTTAGGCTTGGCAGTATCTTAGGCTTGGGAGTATCTTAGGCTTGGCAGTATCTTAGGCTTGGGAGTATCTTAGGCTTGGGAGTATCTTAGGCTTGGGAGTATCTTAGGCTTGGCAGTATCTTAGGCTTGGGAGTATCTTAGGCTTGGGAGTATCTTAGGCTTGGGAGTATCTTAGGCTTGGGAGTATCTTAGGCTTGGGAGTATCTTAGGCTTGGGAATATCTTAGGCTTGGGAGTATCTTAGGCTTGGGAATATCTTAGGCTTGGCAGTATCTTAGGCTTGGGAGTATCTTAGGCTTGGGAATATCTTAGGCTTGGGAGTATCTTAGGCTTGGGAATATCTTAGGCTTGGGAATATCTTAGGCTTGGGAGTATCTTAGGCTTGGGAATATCTTAGGCTTGGCAGTATCTTAGGCTTGGGAGTATCTTAGGCTTGGGAATATCTTAGGCTTGGGAGTATCTTAGGCTTGGGAGTATCTTAGGCTTGGCAGTATCTTAGGCTTGGGAGTATCTTAGGCTTGGGAGTATCTTAGGCTTGGCAGTATCTTAGGCTTGGGAGTATCCTAGGCTTGGGAGTATCTTAGGCTTGGGAGTATCTTAGGCTTGGGAGTATCTTAGGCTTGGGAATATCTTAGGCTTGGGAGTATCTTAGGCTTGGGAATATCTTAGGCTTGGGAGTATCTTAGGCTTGGAAATATCTTAGGCTTGGGAGTATCTTAGGCTTGGGAGTATCTTAGGCTTGGGAATATCTTAGGCTTGGGAGTATCTTAGGCTTGGGAGTATCTTAGGCTTGGGAATATCTTAGGCTTGGGAATATCTTAGGCTTGGGAGTATCTTAGGCTTGGGAATATCTTAGGCTTGGGAGTATCTTAGGCTTGGGAATATCTTAGGCTTGGGAATATCTTAGGCTTGGGAATATCTTAGGCTTGGGAATATCTTAGGCTTGGGAGTATCTTAGGCTTGGGAATATCTTAGGCTTGGGAATATCTTAGGCTTGGAATATCTTAGGCTTGGGAGTATCTTAGGCTTGGGAATATCTTAGGCTTGGGAGTATCTTAGGCTTGGGAGTATCTTAGGCTTGGGAATATCTTAGGCTTGGGAGTATCTTAGGCTTGGGAGTATCTTAGGCTTGGGAGTATCTTAGGCTTGGGAATATCTTAGGCTAGGGAATAAAATTGCCGTAAACTCTATGGCACCAGTGTCACTCACACCGTGTGGCACCAATGTCACTCACACTGTGTGGCACCAGTGTCACTCACACTGTGTGGCACCAGTGTCACTCACACTGTGAGGCACCCTTGTCACTCACACTGTGAGGCACCCTTGTCACTCACACTGTGTGGCACCCTTGTCACTCACACTGTGAGGCACCCTTGTCACTCACACTGTGAGGCACCCTTGTCACTCACACTGTGTGGCACCAGTGTCACTCTCACTGTATGACACCAGTGTCACTCTCACTGTATGACACCAGTGTCACTCACACTGTGTGGCACCAGTGTCACTCTCACTGTGTGGCACCAGTGTCACTCTCACTGTGTGGCACCAGTGTCACTCACACTGTGTGGCACCCTTGTCACTCACACTGTGAGGCACCCTTGTCACTCACACTGTGTGGCACCCTTGTCACTCACACTGTGTGGCACCAGTGTCACTCTCACTGTGTGGCACCAGTGTCACTCACACTGTGTGGCACCCTTGTCACTCACACTGTGAGGCACCCTTGTCACTCACACTGTGTGGCACCCTTGTCACTCACACTGTGTGGCACCAGTGTCACTCACACTGTCAGGCACCAGTGTCACTCACACTGTGTGGCACCAGTGTCACTCACACTGTGTGGCACCAGTGTCACTCTCACTGTGTGGCACCAGTGTCACTCTCACTGTGTGGCACCAGTGTCACTCACACTGTGTGGCACCAATGTCACTCACACTGTGTGGCACCCTTGTCACTCAGCCTGTGAGGCACACTTGTCACTCACATTGTGTGGCACCCTTGTCACTCACACTGTGTGGCACCCTTGTCACTCACACTGTGAGGCACCCTTGTCACTCAGCCTGTGAGGCACACTTGTCACTCACACTAAGTGGCACCCTTGTCTCTCACACTGTGTGGCACCCTTGTCACTCACACTGTGAGGCACCATTGTCACTCAGCCTGTGAGGCACACTTGTCACTCACACTCTGTGGCACCCTTGTCACTCACACTGTGAGGCACCCTTGACACTCACACTGTCAGGCACCAGTGTCACTCCCACTGTGAGGCACCCTTGTCACTCAGACTCACCTTGGAACTTCTCCCTCACAGGCAAATCCCACCGCCAGAAGAGGAAGAAGGCGCTTGTGAGGTAAGAGAAATGAGGTATGAGAGGGCGAGTTAAGAGTAGTGAGGTATGAGAGGCGAGGCATGAGGAATGAGGTATTGTTGCAACTCTCCCAATGCTCCCCCCCCCCATCATATATATTCATTTGCCAGTATATACATATCCATTAAGTATTTCACAAGTCATTAAAAATGCACCCACACTCTCTCCAACTGAGACTACCGAATTGGCAGAGCCACAGAGAGTGGCTTCACTCGCTACATATAACACATCCACACTATATATAAACACTCGGTACATATAACCACATCCACGCCATATATACACACCCAGTACATATAACCCACATCCACACCATATTTATAACATGTTCCTTGTATACAAAATCCCCCCCAGCACCGACTAGGTGTTCATAATCCCTCACAGACGTCTACTGGGATGTTAATAATCCTTAAATCCTTTTTTTTTCCTATTTCCGGATAATCCCTCATCTTTCTCAAGTTGCTGGACAAGTGTGAGGCACTCATAACACCCTGAGTGCTCACGCTTGGCACTTGACGGCACTCTCTCAAGTGCCAGACGCCACTCTGGGCGTGCTAGAGTGACGATCAGCCAGCTTCAGACATCCACACTCACTCATACTCACTCACTCATACTCACTCATACTCACTTATACTCACTCACACACTCACTCATACTCACTCATACTCACTTATACTCACTCACACACTCACTCATACTCACTCATACTCACTCACACACTCACTCATACTCACTCATACTCACTCACACACTCACTCATACTCACTCACACACTCACTCATACTCACTCACACACTCACTTCCGTTGCCCACTATGTTTCAGAGAGAATTTTCAGATTTATTCCTTTATATTTGCATCACAACAGTATGAGGTGTGAGGTGAAATGAGGTATGAGGTATGAGGTAAAACAGGAGAGGTATGAGGTAAAATGAGTTAGGCGTATGTGTTGCGAGTCCAATTTTTATTTTTTTAAAGAACAGTGTTAAAAGGGTTTCAGCAATTTTAAAATAATTTCTCTCTCTTCCCCCCCCCCCTCTCCCCCTCTCTCTCTCTCTCTCTCTCTCTCTCTCTCTCTCTCTCTCTCTCTCTCTCTCTCTCTCTCTCTCTCTCTCTCTCTCTCTCTCTCTCTCTCTCTCTCTCTCTCTCTCTCTCTCTCTCTCTCTCTCTCTCTCTCTCTCTCTCTCTCACACACACACACACACACACACACACACACACACACACACACAAACACACACACACACACACAAACACACACACACACATTTCGAGAGAGAGAGAGAGAGTTAGAAGGAAAGAACGAAATTATGAGGGGAAAGCGCCAAGCCATTACGACTATATAGCACTGGGAAGGGGTCAGGATAAGGATTTAGGATGGAACGGGGGAAAGGAATAGTGCCCCAACCACTTGGACGGTCGGGGATTGAACGCCGACCTGCTTGAAGCGAGGCCTTCGTTTTACCGTCCAGCCCAAGTGATTGGGCGAGAGAGAGAGAGAGAGAGAGAGAGAGAGAGAGAGAGAGAGAGAGAGAGAGAGAGAGAGAGAGAGAGAGAGAGAGAGAGAGAGAGAGAGAGAGAGAGAGAGAGAGAGAGAGAGAGAGAGAGAGAGAGAGAGAGAGAGAGAGAGAGAGAGAGTTATACGAAACTAATATCACTACCTTTGTGTACAAACAGGTTTAAGCCCATGCCAGAGATCGACCTGGACACCGTCGTGGAGGAGAAGTCGGAGTTCGATGCTGAGGTCACAGCCTCTGACCTCCTGACGACCCCAGACGAGCTGATTGTGCCGGAGGAGACCTCCTTCCCAGCCTCCTTCAGGGCCTACAGGTTAGGCCGACCCCCATCAGCTCTCACCCTTCACTGTTGACAGTTTTATAATTGTTAAAAAAAATGTTTGTATCGAGAGTGGAGGCTGTATTAAGCTATATTTGGTTACGTAAGACTGGGCTATGTTGGTCTAGGATATGTTGGTCTAGGTTATGTTGGTCTAGGTTATGTTGGTCTAGGTTATGTTGGTCTAGGTTATGTTGGTCTAGGCTATGTTGGTCTAGGTTATGTTGGTCTAGGTTATGTTGGTCTAGGTTATGTTGGTCTAGGTTATGTTGGTCTAGGTTATGTTGGTCTAGGTTATGTTGGACTAGGTTATGTTGGTCTAGGTTATGTTGGACTAGGTTATGTTGGTCTAGGTTATGTTGGACTAGGTTATGTTGGTCTAGGTTATGTTGGTCTAGGTTATGTTGGTCTAGGTTATGTTGGTCTAGGTTATAGGTTATGTTGGACTAGGTTATGTTGGTCTAGGTTATGTTGGTCTAGGTTATGTTGGTCTAGGTTATGTTGGTCTAGGTTATGTTGGTCTAGGTTATGTTGGTCTAGGATATGTTGGTCTAGGTTATGTTGGTCTAGGTTATGTTGGTCAAGGTTATGTTGGTCTAGGTTATGTTGGTCTAGGTTATGTTGGTCTAGGCTATGTTGGTCTAGGTTATGTTGGTTTAGGTTATGTTGGTCTAGGTTATGTTGAACTAGGTTATGTTGGTCTAGGCTATGTTGGTCTAGGTTATGTTGGACTAGGTTATGTTGGTCTAGGCTATGTTGGTCTAGGATATGTTGGTTTAGGTTATGTTGGTCTAGGCTATGTTGGTCTAGGTTATGTTGGACTAGGTTATGTTGGTCTAGGCTATGTTGGTCTAGGTTATGTTGGTCTAGGTTATGTTGGTCTAGGTTATGTTGGTCTAGGTTATGTTGGTCTAGATTATGTTGGTCTAGGTTATGTTGGTCTAGATTATGTTGGTCTAGGTTATGTTGGTCTAGGTTATGTTGGTCTAGGTTATGTTGGACTAGGTTATGTTGGTCTAGGTTATGTTGGTCTAGGCTATGTTGGTCTAGGTTATGTTGGACTAGGTTATGTTGGTCTAGGTTATGTTGGTCTAGATTATGTTGGTCTAGGTTATGTTGGTCTAGGCTATGTTGGTCTAGGCTATGTTGGTCTAGGTTATGTTGGTCTAGGTTATGTTGGTCTAGGTTATGTTGGTCTGGGCTATGTTGGTCTAGGTTATGTTGGTCTAGGTTATGTTGGTCTAGGTTATGTTGGTCTGGGTTATGTTGGTCTAGGTTATGTTGGTCTAGGTTATGTTGGTCTAGGCTATGTTGGTCTAGGTTATGTTGGTCTAGGTTATGTTGGTCTAGGTTATGTTGGTCTGGGTTATGTTGGTCTAGGTTATGTTGGTCTAGGTTATGTTGGTCTAGGCTATGTTGGTCTAGGTTATGTTGGTCTAGGTTATGTTGGTCTAGGTTATGTTGGACTAGGTTATGTTGGTCTAGGTTATGTTGGTCTAGATTATGTTGGTCTAGGTTATGTTGGTCTAGGCTATGTTGGTCTAGGCTATGTTGGTCTAGGTTATGTTGGTCTAGGTTATGTTGGTCTAGGTTATGTTGGTCAGGGCTATGTTGGTCTAGGTTATGTTGGTCTAGGTTATGTTGGTCTAGGTTATGTTGGTCTAGATTATGTTGGTCTAGGTTATGTTGGTCTAGGCTATGTTGGTCTAGGCTATGTTGGTCTAGGTTATGTTGGTCTAGATTATGTTGGTCTAGGTTATGTTGGTCTAGGTTATGTTGGTCTAGATTATGTTGGTCTAGGTTATGTTGGTCTAGGCTATGTTGGTCTAGGCTATGTTGGTCTAGGTTATGTTGGTCTAGATTATGTTGATCTAGGTTATGTTGGTCTAGGTTATGTTGGTCTAGGTTATGTTGGACTAGGTTATGTTGGACTAGGTTATGTTGGTCTAGGTTATGTTGGTCTTGGTTATGTTGGTCTAGGTTATGTTGGTCTAGGTTATGTTGGTCTAGGTTATGTTGGTCTAGATTATGTTGGTCTAGGCTATGTTGGTCTAGGTTATGTTGGTCTAGGTTATGTTGGTCTAGGTTATGTTGGTCTAGGTTATGTTGGACTAGGTTATGCTGGTCCAGGTTATGTTGGACTAGGTTATGTTGGTCTAGGTTATGTTGGTCTAGGCTATGTTGGACTAGGTTATGTTGGTCTAGGTTATGTTGGTCTAGGTTATGTTGGTCTAGGTTATGTTGTTCTAGGTTATGTTGGACCAGGTTATGTTGGACAAGGTTACAGTGAGTTAGGTTAGGTTGAGTAAGATTATACAGAGCTAGACCATGTTGAAATGAGTTTAAAAATCACTATACATATATTGTGACCGGGCTTACGTTGTACCTCTCCTGTACTCAACAGGTACATGGGCCCGGTACAGCAGGCAATACTCTCCCCCATCAAGACCTCGCCGTACAGGACTCCTCCTCATGGGGCCACCAATCTGGAGCACGTCAGTGAGGAGATGAATGTTGAGGAGGATGAGATGATGGGCAACAGCGACGATGAGCGTCTTGACGACTTTGATGAGGACGATGGTGACAGTGTAGATGCTGCTGAAACAGGCAGCGTCGACGACCTGAACGATGATGATGATGATGATGATGATGATGGTGAGGCTCCCACCAGCGGCGGCAGCAGTGATAGTGAGACGGTCAATGCGTGTTTTTCACTATCGCCAAAACAGGTCAATAAATCCCCCACTGGAGTCCACCTCGCTCTCAAGAAATTGGACGGGGCGGTGAAACGTCGGAATTCAAGTCCCGTAAAGGTCAATTACTGTAAGAGCAAAGGTCAGCGTAGCTCGGGAAAGGTCAACCACAGTTACGCGAGCGACGAGGACAGTCCTCAGCCTATCAGAGTTGGCTTCGACTACATAGACCGCGAGCTTATGCCCGAAATATCGCCGCGAACTCGGTCGCACTCCGTCAAGCACCCGAGTCGCAGAGCTGCCTCTTTTACCATCAAGAAGCGCCACGGCGAGTCCCTCAAGCTCAGAAGCAAGAGTTTTTCAAGAAGTATGTCCCACGGGCAGGATGGGCAGGAGCATAGGCCTAGGGTACACCAGCGAGGGCCTCACAGCGGTGAACAACTACACAACGGTGTTCTCGAGTGCGATGTTCACGCCGTGAGTGAGAACAGTGGACTGGAGAGTTCCACCGGTGAACAGATCTCCAGCAACAGGAGCAGCGGTGATGGGATGAGTTCGAAGACAGTGTCTGAGACGGATATTTTCCCAAACGGCAACGAAACGTACTGTTCGAGGTCGCTGAGGGATCCCCACTCTTCTGGGTCTTTCAGGGACCTTCGGCCCTCAGGGTCCTTTAGGGACCCCCGCCCCTCAGGGTCCTATAGGGACCTTCGCCCCTCAGGGTCCTTTAGAGAACCCCGCCCCTCAGGATCCTTCAGGGACACCAACACCTTAGGAATTTCTAGAGACCCGCATAGAACAGGGTCTTTCAGAGACCCCCAATCCTCGAAGTCCTCCCGGGACCCTTACAGATCAAGGTCATTTAGGGACTCCCACACCTCAAGGTCCTTCAGAGACTCCCAAACCTCAGGGTCCTGTGAAGAGTCCCATGCCTCGGACCGCGGAGGCTGCACACATCTCCTCAAAGACGATCGAGATGCCTCGGAAAGTCCGATGAAAAGACTGTTGCCACAGAGTTTGAGAACAGTGTATGGAGAGACTCTAGACGCTAGAGAACTCTACCAAGTGCCTCCCATCATCACCGAGGAGAGTGCCGTTGAGTGCCAACAGGAAAACAGAGCGATGTCGCCTCCCTCGACACTAGACGTAACCTTTGCGAACGAAAGTGCGTTGAAAGACCCCGACAACGAGGCCGGGCAACAGTGCCACAGGTGCCTGGACAAAAGCGAGAGAGATAACGAGAGGAGTACTCTCGTTTGACACAAAAGCTGTGCCACTTTTATACGTGTAAATGCTTGAGGAAAAAAAGTACATAGAAACCTCAAAAAGTGTCCCCCCCCCCCCCCGTCTTTTGACTGTACATGATCTTATCAGCTCTGACTTAATTATATCTTAGATATTTCACTTATATTATTGCTTACTTAAACTGGTGCTTGCATATTTGCAGCTTTAATAACATAAGAATATCTTCCAATATATATATATATACACACACACACACATATATATATATATATATATATATATATATATATATATATATATATATATATATATATATATATATATATATATATATATATATATATATATATATATATATATATATATATTGTAGCAAATGGTTCCTAGTTTTATATAAAAGGTCAGAAAGATCATGAGGATATTTCTAGGCAGATAAAGCTTAAATGATGCTCATCAATTTCAGTAACTAAGCTTAACGATGAGGATCAAGTTCAGAAACTTAAGCAGCAAAGCTTAAGAATGTCTCAAGCTTTAGCTGGTATACATGTGAGTGTCTTTAGCTGGATAGTTTACTGATTGGTATTCTTTTGTAAGTAAACTTGGTGGTTCTGTAATGTCTTGTAACTGCATATACCTGGGCCAGTATTCATCAAGCATTATACAAATTCTGACGAAACCTTTACATCTTTGCTCAAATATGGCGGCTGCGTTTACATATAAGGAGCACGAGGTTGTTTATAATATCAACAACCTCGGGTTGTGACGTTTACAAACTCGTAAACTGTTTAATACGTGTAAACAACGCCGCCATGATCAAGGAAAGATGTAGAGGTTTCGTAAGTGGGTTGATGAAGCCCGGCTTTGTTTAACGAGCGACTCGCTGTTGTCAACAGAGACCTGATGGTCGTGATTACACACGATAACAAGAGGCTCTTGAGAGTGATGATGATTCAGCCTTGTTCAATAGTTACCCCCTGGAGGTCTCCAGCACCTTCCCCTTGGCCCACCTCCCCTTGGCCCACCTCTCCTTGGCCCACCTCCCCTTGGCCCACCTCCCCTAGTCCTCTCCCCTAGCCCCCACCCCCTCACTATCCCCCCCTAGCTGTCCCTAAACCCCCCACCCCCTCTTCTCTGCCTGACAATGTTCTTCCCTCTCCTGGAGATCAAAGACCAGCATCTTGACCCCTTGACCTCAGGTCCTGAAGGGTCAAGAGTCACACGCTGGAGCCAGTGGGAATTTTCCTGCTTGTTTTGTGTCAAAATTATAAGGAGATTATTAGAAGTGATGATGATAATATTGTTATTTATCATTGTTTTTTCATTATATAATTATTCAATTTAATTATTATAATTATTATTTTAAATGAAATTATTTTAATTTATTTAATTATCATTTAAAAATACTGTATTATAATTTTATATAAAAATTGTTTTCACGTTCCACGTTCCAAGGACCCCAGAGCAGGCGAGCAGGGGATGGAAGACAGGGGCGAAGATGCAGAAATCTTGAGCTAGGATCTGGAGATGAAGAGTCAAAGAGCGGGGGAAAAGTATCGCGGGCCGAACCATCGTGGGATAAGACTTACAGCCGACGCTGAGGTGTGGTGGCTGGCGTGGAATTCACGTGGTTGCTCGCTGCTGTGTCTTATAGAAGGCAGCCGGGCTTCTCGTCGCGGATTTAGTGGAGTAATTTGCTACTACCATTAGTCGATGGTCTTCTTTGGCTTCTTGGCCGCTCAGTTTGGTCTGGCGATCCTTTTTCACGGTGGTACTGACATTGGAGGTTGTGCAGACGACGAGTCACAATAACGTGGTTGAAGTATGTTGACCAGACCACACACTAGAAGGTGAAGGGACGACGACGACGTTTCGGTCCGTCCTGGACCGTTCTCAAGTCGATTGTCAACCTCGTTGGAGGTTGTGTTCTGAAGGAAATCTTCTGTTGAGTAGGTGCACTCCCGTGCAGATGTTGATCCAACAGAGACTGATGAATCGCCTGATTCAAAAGCAGAGGCAATGAGTCTTGAGTGTTGACCTCTTGTCGCCGCCGGCCCTGCAGCAGATGTTGATAGTTCAGTGGGTGCCCACACGACATCTGGAACTGTCGCAGTTGTGGCTGGATGAGCAGGAGGAGGTGTCGTCGTCTGGGTGCTTGTGATACAGTTGCAGCAGGAGCGGCGTGGCAGCTGTTGCCAGGAGGGCCGTGAGCGCGACGCCGCTCACAGTGATGTTTGGGACCAGATCCGGAGTTTGAGAACTTGAGGTTCAAGTGGTGGTATAGACGTCATCCGGGACGATGAAGGCTAGGAGACCATTTGCTTTGTTGAGAATATATATAATTCTCACATATTCCTGTGGGTTCGTGCCAGCTATCATCCGGGCTGACGTTGTCAGCGCTTCTATCGTGTTGTACGTCATCCTACCCTGGCAGTGATTGGTCGGGGTAGGATACGGTGGCGACAGCTGGCTTGATGAGTGGCTGGCAGCTGCGCCCCCATTGGCTGGCTTGGTGAGAGGTGGCTTCCCTTCCCGGGAGCTTCGGAAAAAATGGCGGCGTGAACGTTGAAGGTTGAGGTAGACGCTGATTGGGTGATTGGGTGGTTGTAGCTGAAGTGGTTGGGCTGATGCCAGCTGCTGAGGACGGCCTGGCTGTCTCCAGGGTCTTGATAACTTCCTGTCTGCGGGATAACGACGGGAGGATGCGGGATGATCGCCATCTCAAAGCAGACAGAGCAGAGTTTCCGACTTGCTGATGGAAGACTGGGGATTAGCTGAGCACTTGTGAATGCGCTGTTGACATTTGCTGGTGTGGTGCGAGTACTCGTAGCACTGGAAGCATTGATTCACTTTGTTGTATGGTTCAGTCTTCACATGTATGGAGGAACCTGGAGGCCAAAACTGAGGAAGCCCTGAGCGGTAGCCCGCGAAGCCCTGAGCGGTAGCCCGCGAAGCCCTGAGCGGTAGCCCGCGATGCCCTGAGCGATAGTCCGCGAAGCCCTGAGCGGTAGCCCGCGAAACCCTGAGCGGTAGCCCGCGAAGCCCTGAGCGGTAGCCCGCGATGCCCTGAGCGGTAGCCCGCGAAGCCCTGACCGGTAGCCCGCGAAGCCCTGACCGGTAGCCCGCGAAGCCCTGAGCGGTAGCCCGCGAAGCCCTGAGCGGCAGCCCGCGATGCCCTGAGCGGTAGCCCGCGAAGCCCTGAGCGGTAGCCCGCGAAGCCCTGACCGGTAGCCCGTGAAGCCATTTGCTACGGAGCAGCAGGTTAACTTCAAGATTGGTGTCTCGCCGTCAGTATTCATGTTGAAGATATCGGCGGAGAATGTTGACGTGTTCTCGTTTTCTTGATCGATGTTGTCCAGACGCTGCGCTCTCTGTTGCTCCGTGTTCCACGAGCTGAAGCTGCGGATAAAGACCGAGATCTCTCATCGAGGATCTGACGTGGGAAGCTGATTGAGGTCCTCGTTATCAAACGCCTGTACGTGAACCATTAGTTTGTCGAGGTCCTGCTCGCTCGAGAAGAATGTGAAGTCTACGCCTTTCTGGCCGATATCCATAGGTGTCACTCCACCAGTGACCTTAAGCACCTTAAGGGTTGTCTTGGAGAACCCTTGCTCGTTAAGGGGACGTACCCGGGACCATGTTTGTGAGGCATGGTGGTCTTCCTGGTGGCCGAGGGGGTCCTCTCTATGGCCTGTCGTCTCTACTCTGCATAATATACCGTGTCGCGAGTGGGCGTTTGAGCATTTAGAGTGAAGGGAGCCCGCCCTTCTGTCATATATATACCCACCCGGCGGTACTGGGTGCGGGAGAGAGAGAGCTGGACACGGGATCACCATAACCCGTGCTGCTTGGGACTTTTTGTTCCTAGTAGCGAATCTTATACAACAATAACGAGATGGAACAGATAGACACGTTTGGCTGTGGCGGCTATTAGTTTCAGAACTGATTTTCAGATGAATAATTATTCTTTTTCAATAATAATTATTATTAAAAACTAATAATTTATGTTATATTTAAATATCATAATTACTATTCAAATATTTGCTACGATAAATATTATTAGAAATATTATGTACATAATTGATATTGTTTATTTTGCGTACATGTACAACTTGTACGGTATTATCCACAAAGGAGCGAATGTTTCTGTTCAAACTTCCTTGACCACAACGACATCGCTCAGGGGAATTTTGTCGGTGAAAACGTAGCATTCTGACGCTGGTGACAGGGGAGACTCCGTCATGTTTCTTACGTGTACATTCCTTGTGTACATACACACCACATGAAACATCTCTCCCTGTGTGTACTTTTGTGCCTATTGTGTGTGTGTGTATATCAACATACATGTGTATGTATGGACATCAACATACATGATGTACACACTCACGGGCTGTGTGTTGATGAGGACGGTCTGTGTGTTGATGAGGACGGTCTGTGTATTGATGAGGACGGGCTGTGTGTTGATAAGGACGGTCTGTGTGTTGATGAGGACGGTCTGTGTGTTGATGAGGATGGTCTGTGTGTTGATGAGGACGGTCTGTGTGTTGATGAGGACGGGCTGTGTGTTGATGATGACGGTCTGTGTGTTGATGAGGACGGGCTGTGTGTTGATGAGGACGGTCTGTGTGTTGATGAGGACGGTCTGTGTGTTGATGAGGACGGTCTGTGTGTTGATGAGGACGGTCTGTGTGTTGATGAGGACGGTCTGTGTGTTGATGAGGACGGGCTGTGTGTTGATGAGGACGGTCTGTGTGTTGATGAGGACGGTCTGTGTGTTGATGAGGACGGTCTGTGTGTTGATGAGGACGGTCTGTGTGTTGATGAGGACGGTCTGTGTGTTGATGAGGACGGTCTGTGTGTTGATGAGGACGGTCTGTGTGTTGATGAGGACGGTCTGTGTGTTGATGAGGACGGTCTGTGTGTTGATGAGGACGGTCTGTGTGTGAGGACGGTGATGAGGACGGTCTGTGTGTTGATGAGGACGGTCTGTGTGTTGATGAGGACGGTCTGTGTGTTGATGAGGACGGTCTGAGGACGGTCTGTGTTGATGAGGACGGTCTGTGTGTTGATGAGGACGGTCTGTGTGTTGATGAGGACGGTCTGTGTGTTGATGAGGACGGTCTGTGTGTTGATGAGGACGGTCTGTGTGTTGATGACGGACGGTCTGTGTTGATGAGGACGGTCTGTGTGTTGATGAGGACGGTCTGTGTGTTGATGAGGACGGTCTGTGTGTTGATGAGGACGGTCTGTGTGTTGATGAGGACGGTCTGTGTG